AAACTCGTCATCTCCTCCACTCTCTCTGCGCGTTAAACGTGGAAGTTCTGTAGTTAGTACTTCATCAAGATCAATTCCCAAGTGTGGGAAATACTGCTTCTAAACAGTAGTTTATTAAATTTAAACGAAATACAGTGTAGTATACTTCTGTTCCTTAACCAGTTCCACAGCGGTATGATTTTTTATCAGGAAAACTGAGGGTGAAACTTTCTCAAAATTTCTACTTAAAGGTGCCAATTTATTACTAGCAAAATAGCAGAGAAGTTGTTAAACCGTCCTAAAAAGCTTAACAGCGTTTCTTCTATAAAAGTCAGCTGCTACTGTTAAGTGATTTATAAACAAACTAAAACAAGCAGAAATCAAAACTGTTTTACTGATATGTTTTGAAGCGAATAACCATAGACGTCGTCCGATAGATCGCAGCATTTTCGCTGACAGATCAAATGACTTGGCTTCAACTTGTTGCATGGCATTCCAGTAATTTCTTCTAAAATGTTAGACGTGAAGGATTGTCGAGGTCAGTAGAGCTATTCTTTAAGCAGCGACGAAGACATCAACAGATATTGAAGGTTTTGATTTTTTCTTAAAGTAGCATTTTTAAACTAAGAACAGTACAAGTTAAGAGAAGGAATAAATCTGTGCAATAATTAACAAATTTTCACTTACTGTTGTATTGTATTATAATACATCAGAACAGTTTTAAATTAAATTTAAAAAATTTTTAAACTTTTTTCATTTTTCAGTTTTGCGAAAAAACATTTTGAACTAATTAATTACACCTGTATTAGATGCTGTTAAATGGAACATATAACATTCGTCTTGTTTATGGGTAATTCCTTCAACAGCAAATCTTTTTTTGAAATATTCCAAAGATGAGTTATTAGTCGACCGTAACGTTCCACCAAATGACGATAAACCAGACAAAACATATTCCGCTGTTTTCAGATTTCTTAAATTTTCGAAAAAATGTTCTGTAATTTGAAAAAATATGGTTTAACATTAATAAAAGTGGCCAGCAAATTAAAACTTTTAATGTGCAATTCTGCTCATAACGTAGCCAAAAAAGATAAAAAAAATTTGTTCTTGCAAAGAAAAAATTCTTTTATTGGAATTCTTCTGCTAACCTCTTAAAAATTTCATTTCGTTTTCACTTTCAATCAACAAAATATGATAATTTCCTAATAACCAACACGCCTCATTCGCACTTTCAACAGTATAATTTCCAGTAAAAACTTTCTAAATTTATATCTGTTTCTTTATTGGGGTGTAAGAAACCGTCAGATTATACAACATTAATGCTCTAAATAAAATTTCTGCACAACACGTCTACTCTGATAAATTTTTCCACACTTTTACCGTGTAATTTTATTTACCTGAACTTTGTAGTAGCAAAGATCTACTTTGGACGACATTAAGGAAACTCGAGTTGAAAACGGCAGTAAAGGGCACTCACCACGTAACTCTAAAAACCTCTTTCCTTATATTCAGGTGAAAACAACATTTCGGATGGCAGAACAAACATCAAAAACAGACCTTAAGCTAAAAAACAAATTTACTTTATTTCATCGTTATGCAGACGATTTAATGTCGTCGACTTGTTTTGTTAGTCCTTTCAATTGCTCATTTAGATCTTCAACTGATTTTCAGTAGATCAGAAAGTTAGAAAAAATTTGCCGGTTAAATTTTTGCAACACTTACTTTTCAATATAACTAAGTGTTTTTATTTGTCTACTACTTTGTGTTAAAGTATATTAGTGTTACCATTACAGAAGTTTTAATCTAGAACGAAAAAGTATTGTGTAATTTCTGAGAACCGTTGACAATGGCTCAGCATGTTGAAACATCCAACGTCTACCTGATGACTCAAAATTTTAACTAACCATAATTTGAAAACACAGATCGTGGAATAACGACCGTCAAAAAAGCATTCAGTATAAACAACCGCATTCCAGTTTCAGTTTTTCGTTAAGTGACGTCGTTTAAACATTGCATCTAAACCGGAAGAAATGGTTAGGCATTTTGGTAAAACTGGTAAATATCACCAAAAAAGCCAGTTAATTAATAGTAATATTAGATTTTTTGTAAATTTATCTGTACCATCTTTTGATTTTGCTAATAATTATCAGATTAACCCACCTCAATACTGTAGCCGTTTTAGTCGCACTGAATAAATTAATTGGAAAACCGTTCAAAAATCACATTTCAGTGAAACAGTAGAGTTGTTGAAGATAATAATAAAATGCGCAAAAGACAATAGTACATTTGAACAACTAATTTTTCATTTTCTTTTTTGTTGCAAGTTTTTAATTTCTGACAGACTGCTGTTTCATTCTTAATTTTCCGTTCAGTACTTGTTGCATTATATAAATAAATAAATAAATAAATAAATAAATAAATATATATATATATATATATTTCAATTGACATCTCAATTTTTTCAAACTTTGCTGACTAGTACAAGGTAGACTACATTTGAGGAACTGAAAAGAGATACTAAAAAAGTGAATTCTTGCAAAGTAACGCTCTTTTTCAGCTGCTGAATGTGTCATGCTGCTGTTCGGTAAACCTCTCTTTGCCAGTCTGTAGCTCAGTCTAACATTAATGAAATTTAATTTTTTGGATTCTAACTCTGTGCGTGACAGTAATCAGCGAATATGTTCTACTAAGTGCAGCTTCTCGAATCAAATCTCTGACAGACGAAGTATGCTACTAATCAATGACGGTTTTCTAAGGTTTTAAAGATTCCGTCTAACGACGGTCACCGTGAAATGCATGCAAAGAATACAATACAAGTGAAATATTACCGACCCCACATAGTCTTCAGGCACACAACCCTTGCCTCCGCCGAAAAAAAACCAATTTATCACGCTTCACAGAGAAAAAATTTTGTAGCGGGTGTTTTTTTTTGACTGAAAAGACGCTTTTGTCTATTTTTGAATTTTTACTTTCGTTGCCTTTTCACGTGCTTAACTCAATCAACTACTTAATAAGTATTAAAAGATGAGAGTCATGAGGAAGTTAATAACTCATAAATTATTAAATCTTCATGAAGGTTCGCTAAGCAGAAGTCTGAAAGTGCCGGCTTATTCGGCAGCAAACTGGTAAATTTTGCAACTTCTTCGTTCATCACTTCGCAAGGAATACACTTCTCCTATGTCTTAGTATGTTCAGGCCAGGCCGTAGTAATCAGCGAATGTTGAGAAAATGTTTAGGTATCAACTGAAAAAGGAGACGAATTAGTGGTTAGCGGTTCACAGTTCACGCAGAAAAGTACTGAAAAGCCGGGTGCAAGAAAGCATTTAAAAGAACTCCCCGGCCGGGAATCGAACCCGGGTCTCGCACGTGACAGGCGCGGATACTCACCACTATACTACCGAGGATGCATTAGGTACATTTAAAAGCATTTGTGCCATTTGTGTAAATAGCTATTAAGACACAGCAAGACTAAGCTTATCATAGCTACATGAAATTGTTGTAAAAAAAAAGCCTGTCGAGCGTACTTTTTTCTTTTTGGCTTTTTAAAGATAAAATCTTTTTATAAACTTGATGGGAAAAGCGGATAATGAAAATTGGGGTTATGTAAATAATACTTTTTCACCGTTGTACTGTCACAGGCTGCCATGAATTTTTCAATTTTTGTGTGTATTGGTTAAAACACCACTGAGGCAGCAGATTTTGCATAATAAGTTTTACTAATTTTAAAAAAATTTTTACTATAATATAACAAAGCAAATGTTACTTACAATAATTAAGTAAGCATTGTAGCTAAGGTTTAATTTTGAAGTGAAATTAGGCTTTTGTGAATGAGAAAAAAAGAAAAATAGAACTAGCAGATTAACAAAAGTGTAATGAAGGTTTGCGCAGCAAATTTCCCTTATTAATTTTTTCACAACCAACATTATGTTTTGAGAAAACTGCTTCTGTACTATATTACTACTAAACTGTTGAAACTTAGTGCTAACACCAACTAGTAGTCCTACAGCACTGAAAGCATTAAAACATTTATAAATTTCTCATTTCAGCATCTGCTAGCTCTGATGTTAATTTTTAAACCTCTTTTTAAAAAAGAACCACGTAAAATTTTGATTCATTTCTGTTACCATGAAAGATTGGTAAACATCGTATCTGAACTTTATAGTATTGATTTAAATTAACCAGAATAACTAATAGATATATGCCAATAAAGTAGATGTAAAACAAAATAAACTTGTAAATTTCTTATTACATTATCAAGAATAAACACATATAGTCGGGTAAAGTTGCTAATATTTTGAAATAATAAACCTGTGATTGTCAACAAAAAAAGCTGCTTTTTTGCTTGCTTACTCTAAGTCAATTATTTAATTTTAAAGAGAACTTTTGATTTGTTATAAACTTCTATTTTTTTTTTGTTAGGATAATCTGAGAGACTTTCTTTTCTTGAGCTTTTGTCAGAAGAATAAATCAAAAAAAAATATGACATTTTTATGCAATTTAACAACAAGAACAGTAACAACAACAAAAATTACCGTCAAAGTAAAACATTCAGTTAATTCGAGTTTAATCCAAAATGTTGAGCAGTTATTATCACAGTTACATTTCACCTCTGTAGTGGCTTTCGCACAGAACAGTTAATATATAGTGTTTGAGCAAGCTCTTCTTTTCTACTTTTTCAAAGAAGTCTTGTCAGTTAAAAACAACGAAAGAGTCTCAAAGTTAATAGTTTCAAAAATAAAACAATTTGCGATTGGGTCAAGGTTTATCTAATGCAACTTGTAGTAGCAACGATTTGTACATGCAAAATTACCTTTTATTTACAAGTAAAGAACGAGAAAAAGTTGGTAGATGTTAATTTTCTACCAGATTTACTCGGTAATTCTTTAACCGTTCCACGTGGTGAACTGTTCAGAGTTACGTCTGTCATATTTGAATCTGAAGCTTCTACCTTGATCTCGTCTACAGATTCTCGTATCGTTTCTATATCTTGCGCATCATTTTCTGTTGATTTTATTTCAATTACAACTTCTTCGTGCTTCTTCTCGACTGGTCTTCTTCGAAGACAAAAACATAAAAAATTAATAAATCCAACAGCCATAGATTCGACGACTAAACTTAAGCTGTATAATAAATACAGAAAACTTTCAAACAAACCTAAAGAATAACAAGTTTGAACATTGCTTTTAAAAGCTGTCAGAATGTAGAAAAAATGATAAGTAAAGGTGTAGAAATATTAACTGTGGTAGGTAATTCATTTTTGAATAAATCAGTGTAGACTTTACTCTTTTATCAGTACGCAAGTAAACCTATAAACAACACTTTTACACTGTTTAACTGTCTATAAACAACCGTTTTGATGCCCTTTTTTGTGTCTATTTAAATAGTCAATTGACTTTTACCGCATAAGTAATAGTGTTTCAAATATATAAATCAAAAAAAA